CAGGAATGCAAAGTCCCATGTAGTGCGCTGAGCTACTGCCGGTCCCTGCAAACAGCTCGCTCTGGGGAACCCGAGGTCCCCCCTTCCCCACCGTGGTTCATAGGTGAGTGTCACCCAGGGAAAGACCTTTCTATTCCCTCAAGGCCAACCACTGTTAATTGCCCAGAGGCCGTACAATGCCAAAACATCTCAGCAGAGGCAGGCAGAAGGCTGTAAGTTTGAGGCTAGCCTGGTCTATATAGGGGATTCCAGGCCACCCAGGGTTGTTTAGTGAGACCCTGTCCGGGTGATGGCACAAGCCTTTAATCCCAGCACTCAGGAGGCAGAGGCAGGAAGACCTCTGGGTTCAAGGATAGCCAGGGCTACACAAAGAAACTCTTATCATCATCATCATCATCATCATCATCATCATAATAGTAATTACTTAAATAATAGCATTTTTTAAACTGGTAAATGCCTGTTATATCAGTGAAATAAAAAGGGGCCGCTAAACATCGGGGGACACCAGAGGCTTCTTAGGGCACCAACCTAGTCTGCCAAGGTGACCCACAATTCTAGAGTGGCATGGCCTCTCAACCCCCAGCTTTTTGTCTGTTTTTTTTAAGTTTACATTTGAAGTGTGCCTACTTGTGCGTGGAGTTCTTTTATATGTAGCAGTGAACTTAAGACAGAAGCCACAATTTCCTTTTTACAGACGTAGGAGTTGAGAAACAGAGAGGTGGAGCAACTGACTTCAGGGCCACACAGCTAAAGAGACAACCAGAATTTGTAACTCACTAGCTGGCTACCTGTTTATTGTCTAACACCTCATTTGGATTTCAGTTTTCAGACGCGGCTACTGTGAAGTTAAAATTTTCTCCCAAACTTCGTGGTTTTCTTTTTTAATGTGGGAATTGTTGAGTAGCTAAGATTTACCACTCACCTTCCCAGGGCCAGCAGATGGGTAAGTGTTGGCTGGAATAATCTAGAAACTTCCAGCCCTTTGACCTTTAGCACTTCTGAACCACATTCTTCATTTCTCATCAAGCACAGATTATCAGGGAGTCATCCCCAGACCACCACCAGCAGCAGCAGCTGGGAACTTGTTAGAAATGGGAAAATATCAGCAACTCTGCCATAGCACATCCTCCCACCTCCCCCACCCCCCGGAGAATTCTAGAGGTGGGCCCAGCTGCATGCTCACAGCTGAGAACCACTGCCTGTCACCTCTTTCTCTCTCTCTCTCTCTCTCTCTCTCTCTCTCTCTCTCTCTCTTTCCCTCCCTCCCTCCCTCCCTCCTCCCCTCCCCTCCCCAATTTGCAGAAACTTATTAAAATGGAAAAGGTATTGTTTAATCTTTTATCCCCTGAGTATCCACCCGGATGCTTGTGACAAGGTCTCCATCTGCTGACTTGCATCTGACACAGGAACCCAGGCAGTCCTCAGTACAAGAGGACTGACTGCCTGGACCCTCCAAACATGAATTCTTGTGTGTATGTGTAGAGACCAGAGGCCAGCTTTGGTGTCCTTCCTCAAGACACCAGCCAACTTGTGTTTTAGGATAGGTTTTAGGGATCTGTCTCCGCCTCCCCAAAGCTGGGATTATAACCGTGTGTTCGTCCATGCACAAGATTTACTTTATTATTTTTTTTTAAGGTTTTATTCATTTTAGTTTATATGTATGGGTGTTTCCCCTGAGAATATATCTGTGCATCATGTGCTTACAGTGCCCAAATAAAACAAAGAAGATGTCAGGTTGGACCCCTCGGACTGGAATTACAAATGTTATAGGGATGCTGACAGTCAAACCCGTGTTCTCTGGAAGAACAACCTACGCCCTTAACCACTGAGCCCCCTCTCCAGACCCTACTTTATTATTTTTAATTATGTATGTGGGTATGTGCATGTGAGTGCAGGTGCCCAGTGGGGCCAGAGGTATCAGATCCCCTGGAACTAGAGTTACAGGCTGTTGTGAACTGCCTGATGCTGGGGCTTGAACTCAGGTCCTCAGCTTGCATGACTAAGCTATCTCTCCAGCCTCCATAGGTTCTCTTTTTCCTTTTAAGATTTGTTTATTTTATTTTGTGTGTATGAATGTATTCCTGCAATGTCTGTGTACCACATTCGTGGCTGGTGCTCTCAGAGGTCAGAAGAGGACATCAATTCTCTGATACTGGAGTCACAGGCATTTGTCAGCCACCACGTGGGAGCTAGGAATCAGGCCCAGGTCCTCCTCAAGAGCTCTCAACCACTGAGCATCTCTCCAGCCACCATGTAGTCTTTTGAGGCAGGACCTCACTATGTTTCCCAGGCTAGCCACAGCATCCAACACCAATGTAAGAGCCCGACAGTGGTGTGCATTTGTAATCTTAGTGCTAGGGAGGTGGGAACAGGGGAGTGGATTCCTGGGGCTCACTGGCCAGTCAGTCTATCTAAATTGGTGAGGTCCAGTTCAGCTGGAGACCCTGTCTCAAAAAACTAAGATGGAGAGTGACTGAACCACTGCCTTGCATGTGTGGGCACACCTTCACACACACATAGACACACACACACTACCATATTGGTTCCCCACACAGCGCTGTGTTGGAGAGATCTACACACCAAACACACAAGCAGACCCACTGCTCAGGTCCTGCAGGTTCCTGCTCTGGCCAACCATGTTTGTCCTCTCCCTTTAGCTGTGTTTGAACCAAAATAAGGTACCATTCTGCTTGCAAGAATGTCAGCGTTCATCCCTACAGAGCAAGAATGTTTTAAATTTCTTCCTCATTTTCATCCATGCACCTGCCTCTAATCTAAAACCCATCTGTCAACACCATTTCAGGTGGCTTTTGTGGCATGTTTGAATCAGGGGCCAGATAAGGTCCCCATGTGTCAGGTCCTCAGCTTGTGAGGTCTCTGGTTTCTCTCTCCACCTCCCTTCTTTTCAAGCAATTTGTTGAAATGCGTTATCCTGGCGAGTGCAATGCCTCAAGTGTGGCCTGTGACCCTTGGATGAACTGAAGCAAATCAGCTCAGCAATAAAATGAGCTCAAGCATTGCAGAGCTGCTGCATGGGGCAGATCTCTGTGAGTTCGAGGCCAGCCTGGTCTACAGAGCAAATTCCAGGACAGCCAAGGCTACACAAAGAAACCTGTCTTGAAAACAACAACAACAACAACAAAAAAAAAAAAAAAAAAAAAAAAAAACCCTGCTGCATGGGCCCTCGAGATGGCTCTGTGCATAAAAGCATGGGCTGCCAAGTGTGATGATCCAAGTTCAATTCCCAGAATCCACATGGTGGAAGAGAGATCTGACTCCCACAAGTTATCTTTTGATGTATGTATGCATGCATGAACCCTATACATGCACATATACAAAATAAATATCAAATAATATTAATAATAGTAGTAATAAAGCAGCTTGGTGCCTCCTATGTTCTGTTGTATCTAATAGGAATTCTTGGGCTCCCCACCCCCACTTTTCTTATAATTCATGTTTACTATTTATTACAAAAACAAAAACAAAAACCCTACATCTTTAGCAGCTAGAAAAATGACTCAGTTGTTAAGAGCACTTGTCCCAAATACCCACCTGGTAGCTTATAAATGTTTTAAGTCCAGGTCCAGGGGACCCCCAGGGGACCGCCCCCATCCTCTTTTGGCCTCTGTCAGCACTGCATGCATACAGTACACATGCATACATTCAAGCTAAATATTGAAAAGAAAAAAACAAAGCTGTGTTTTTGATAACTGGTAGACCATGGCTGGGATCATAGTACTGGGGAATCAGAGGCAGGGGGATCACTATAAGTTCAAGGCCAGTCTTGTGTTACAATGTTTGGGGCTAAGATGACATAGTGTGAGCCTGTCTCCACACAAACCAGACATTAGATCTCGGTGATATCTGTGATATCCCCTGCTGGCCGATTATTTCTCTGGAGGTATTGTCATATCGCCTTCTTTTGTTTCTTCTTATGTAGTAACCAAGGACACTCCTGAACTTTTTTTTTTAATAACTTATTTAACTTTATTTTATGTGCATTGGTGTAAAGGTGTCAGATCCCCTGGAAATGGAGTTACAGACAGTTGTGAGCTGTCATGTGGGTGCTGGGAATTGAACCCAGGTCCTCTGGAAGAGCAGCCAGTGCTCCTAACCCCTGAGCCATGTTTCCAGCCCTGAACTTTTTTCAAGACAGGTTTCTCTGGGTAGTCCTGGAACTTGCTCTGTAGACCAAGTTGGTCTCGAACTCACAGAGATCTGCCTGTCTCTGCCTCCCTAGTGCTGGGATTAAGGCGTGCGCCGCCGCCGCCGCCGCCGCCGCCGCCGCCACCGCCACCACCACCACCCAGCCTGATCTTGAATTTCTAATCCTTCTGCCTCTACTTCCCAAGTGCCGGGATCACAGACCTGCACCACCAGTCCCAGTTTATGCAGTGGTGGGGACTGACCCCACGGCTTCCCCTAGGCATACCCTCCCACCAACTGAGTCCCAGCCCAGCTCCGGGTTTTACAGATTCATTTTATTTTTGTATGTATGTGTGTAGTTATGTGTCTGTGTATGAGCATGGGTATGCCGGTGTCTGCAGCGGTCAGAGAGTTTGTAGGATCCCTTCAAACTGGAAAAGCAATTGTAAGCAGTCAGACCTAGGTGCTGGGAGCACAACTCCAGTCCTCTGCAAAATCACAGAAACATTTCTCCAGCCCTGGTTTCCGTATTCTGAGGCAGTTTTTGGGAAACTGATTTTTTTTTTTTCCGAGACAGGATTTCTCTGTGTAGCTTTGCGCCTTTCCTGGGACTCACTTGGTAGTCCAGGCTGGCCTCGAACTCACAGAGATACGCCTGGCTCTGCCTCCCGAGTGCTGGGATTAAAGGTGTGCGCCACCACCGCCCGGCGGGAAACTGATTTAAAAAAAAAAAAAAGAAAGAAAGAAAGAAAGAAACAAAGCAGCCCAAAGCTCCCTTCCTCTCAGACTCACTATGAGAACTGTCGCTGAGAAATCAAATCAACTTCCTGTCTCCATTTTTGTCTCTGCACTAGATAACCAAGTTCCAAAACCATCTGTCCTCTCTGCTGAAGACAGTGACACCCAGCAGGCCCCTGCTGTCACCCTACCCTCAGAAGCAAAGGAACAATCGGCCACCCTGGGAGAAAGGACCTTTAACTGCTGCTATCCAGGTAAAGGATCAAACCTGGCCGTCGTCGGAGCCCCTCCCCTGCCTAGCCCTGATGCAGGGCGTCTCCACACCTTGTTCAAATCCAAGGTCACTCACATTCGAGGGTCCTGTGGGTCCCACGGCTGCTGCGTCCCAGCTCTCCAGAGACTGTAACTTGAGTTCATAGCTGCTCCTGAACTGAGGATGGAATCGTGTCTCGATAAATCCATTTTGAGTTGAAACATCATCAAATCAAAAATGCAGGACAGGGCTGGAGAGATGGCTTAGAGTACTGACCACTCTCCCAGAGGTCCTGGGTTCAGTTCCTACCACCCACATGGCAGCTCACAACTGTCTGTTCCAGGGGACCCAGCATTCTCACACAGACATACATTCATGCATGGAAGAAGAAGAAGAAGAAGAAGAAGAAGAAGAAGAAGAAGAAGAAGAAGAAGAAGAAGAAGAAGAAGAAGAAGAAGAAGAAGAAG